TGCCCGTAACGTCCACACAATGGACTGTCAACATTTTTCTAATTAATTTTGAATTTTCTGTATAAAAATTCTCTTTCTGCTAATCCATACAGTTATTGCTGACTTTATTTAGGGCTTAGGGTCCGTTTTGCTGATGGAAACTATTAGACGTCTAACCAATAATTGAGCAATCGATTAATAAATTGCTGAACTTTTAATTATAATCCTCAAGATTTAAATCTTGATAATGTCAGTATCAATAAACAATCATAAATCTATTTTTCTGCTGATTGAAAATGATAAGCATTTTATACAAGAAAAGAGCTCAATTTTTTATTATTATTATTATTTGAGTTCTAACTGTCCCTTTCTCATCTGTAAATTTGATGAATGCTATTGATTAGTAGACTTGTATGTAACTTCAAATTTAAAAGAAAGGTATAAACTTAAAAAAGAAATGTTGCACATAAGTCTCAAGGAAGAAAAATTTTTATTTGAAATTATTATTGCTATTACAATGGACAAATATCTATAAGCTATTTGATGAAAATGCAAAGAAGGTAAAACAAAAAGCATAATTTATTACATTTTATACACATATTGCAAATGTATATTAGCATTTGGAATTGCACATAACATAGAAGATAATAAAGAATTTAATCTTGTATATATATAGCTAAAACTAGTGGTTAATTACTATTCTCTTTTGTTTAGGTGAATTGAAGCATATGATCTCCTTCAAAGGAAGGAATTGAGATCCAACAATCTGTCCACCAGCCCACCTTTTCTTAATTTTTTTTTTTTTTTTTTTGTTACATCAAGAGAACAAAATTTTAATACAAAAAAGAAGAAGAGAGAGAAGCCTGATTCAAAATTAAAATTAGGCTCTTCTTCAAGCGCTTTTATCCACTAGACTAAAAGCTTAGGGACACTTTTTCTTAAATTGAGATTGTTTCATCTCAATTATCAAATCTCAACCAGGCATAAAAAAAAAAAAAAAAAATCCACTTTAAGCCATCATGCTTCGTTTCTTTCGATCTTAAATAAAACTCCAGTTTCTTTTATCGTTATACATTGGGATGTTTGGGATCTGTCCAAAATCAATATTTTGGGTGAATCACGTTCATTTGTTATTTTTATTTATGATTGTATAAGAATGACTTTTAATGAAATCTTAAAGTGAGATGAATTTGTTATTTCATAAATTCCAAAAAATAGTTCATACTTGGTGATAATGGAGGAGAATATCATGGTGTTGAGAGCTTCAGCATTATTGTAAAGCACATGGAATTATGCATCAAACTATATTATGTCATTTAGGATGTGTTAAACAATCCGAATTCAAAAGGAGATAAAAATAATTATATTGTGTAAATAATATAAAATTAATATAATATTATAAATAATTTTTAAATTATAATAAAATATTTAATATATTTTAATTTAAAAAATTTGCAATGTGATATTTAAATAAATAATTAATTAATTAATATGATATTTAAAAAATTATTTATCAATCAAATGTGATAATTTGAAATTAATCACGTTATGAGATGAATATCATATGAATTAATAAGTTAATGGATCAAATATTATACTAAAAATTTTTAAAATTTAAATATCACAATAAATGTTTTATTTTAATTAAAAAATTATTTCTGATATTAATCTTATAAATTTAAAGATAAAAGTTTAATACATATATATTTGTTCGTTAATTTCACAAGAATATATTTTGCAAAAATTTATTATTTTTACATGGTGATAAACTACATGAGCCTTGTGAATAATTCTCGTGATCCTGCAAGACACATTTGGTTAAAGATTAATTGGACAGTTAACTTTATTTCAAAATTTTGGTTGAACCTATAATGTTAGTTTCCCATAAAAAGAACTAAACCTATAAATGGTAGGAGCATAGCATCGTTATATGTGTTAAAGGCAATTATTGAAAGGGAGCCACTGTAGGCTACTAGGCTAGGCAACAAAGTAATTAAGGCTGTGTCAGACTGAAAAGAAAGAAGTAGATTCATGTCAATAACATGATAACATTAAATTATAAAGTTTTTAAAGCCGATGTGTTTTGACCAAAGGTTTGGAGGGAAAACAAAAAAAAAGAAGAGGTTGAAATGGAAAATATAAACTCGTCAAATAATTGCCTCAGCTGATTAGTCTTGCTCAAATTGACTTTTGGAAGTGCACGGTCGATGAAAAAGGAAATAGGTATTGGTTTCGAATAAGACTTTTATGTTCTTTCAAAACTTTTTTAATCATTAACTCAAGAATCCAATTTTGACTTATTTTAATCCTATTCTTATGCATAGCTTTTGTATTTTTTCTTATTTTTAGTAGGAGTTGGGAATTTTTTTTTAATTTTTAATCTATTTTTGAATCCTTTTATATATATATTTAAAAAAATATTATGTATATAAATTTTTTAAAATTTATATCTTTTAAATATCAATACTAATATCATATCAATTGATTCAATAATATATCTTGATAAACATGTAAATATATTTGTGAAAGAAAAAAAAAAAGACAACCTTCACGTGACAAATCTGCAGTAGCAAAGGGTGTTTTTGAGGGTGGAAATGTGGGCATGCATGATCAGAGATTGACAATGGCCAAGAAACGCCTAACTCGGTATAGGAAACAAAGATATACAGAAGACCCGTGAATGAGTAACTTTTCTTCATGGCTAGGCAGGCGGGCGGGCTTCTATGGAAATAGCTGATTACCAACCGGATATGAATTTCTTTCTTGAACAGATGATCTATCTAGCTATAGCTCAATATAATAACCAAAAACCACATAAGGGCCATATTATATATATCCCCGGCCTTTTACATCTAACAAATTAAACAAGATTATTATTAATTAATCCATTATAACACTTGACTAACTAAAGATAATGGATATTTACGTATCATGCCCAACATCTAATATAAGAAATATTATTGTCTCTAAGGGGATGCTTTAGAGTTTAGAAATGTGAGATAATAACTATTGACTTGGGTGATCAAATATCTCAAAAGTTTGAGTTAATTGAAAATTTAGAAGAACCCTAGTATCATATCTAAGTTCTAAAATACTTTTTGATCAAGTGCAAATAGGATAATCAATGAACGATTTACATGAGGATCCAAATGGTAAAAGAATTCAAGTTTAAAAAAGATTAAAGAAACATTTTAATAGTTCAATTACTAGTACATCAATTTTTATTTAAAGAAAAATATTCGAATTTTCCTTCTCTAAATAAAAAAAAAATATTGCATATATGGTTCATTGGATAAGAAGATACTAGGTGAAAAAAATATATATATAAAAGCAGTGATGGTTCCATAATTTAAACTCAAGACATCAATATTGATATCATATATCAAATTGAGTGATTAATTATCACAAAATTAAATTAAAATTTTAACAAAATAAAAATCTTCATATGCAAATAAGATTGGTCATTGTCATATGAGTAGAGTCGACTTGATTAGATAAAGACAATGTCATGTGACTTGTGAGTTATCTATCTATTTTGGTTTTAAAGCCAAAATTGTTAGGTAATGGAAGGTGTGGATAAAGGGGGGGACCATTTGAATGCTTTGGGTCATTTATATATCCATATTAATTTGGTGGTGCATGACATGATGTGACCATTATTTTCCTTTTAGGTAATCTACAAGGCTAAAAGTCTTCCAAAGCTTTAATTGCGCTTTCTATTTTCCAACGAGATACTTGAGTCCATTTGTTGCAAGTTACATCATTTTAACCATAATTTGGAAGAAAGTTGGATGTTGTCGAAGATTAGTAAAACACTTTCATTGAATTTTGGATCTTTTTCACTTCCTACAAATATAATTCAATAATGATGAAAGGGATATTTTGTAAGTTTTGTTTATAATACCAATTTGAGCCTTTTTTTTTTTTTAAACGAACTCAAGGCTTAAACCGAAATTAAGAAAAGAAAATCTACAAGCGCATGTTAGAAATTACCCTTTGAAAAAAATAAATAAATCAATTGGATTAAACGTCATATTTAATGAGTCATGTTTTTAGAATTGTTTTAATTTTTGACATATTATTTGACAAAGTGAAATGAAGGTTTTGAAAGGAAAATTATTTGACAATAAAATTTTTAAAATTTACAAATTAATTTATCAAAGTGTCTTATTAAAAAATGTTTCTAAAAATTAATAAATAGATATGTGGCAATTATATATAATACCCTTTGTAGAATTTAAAATTTTTTATTTTGGATGTATAAAATAATAATTCTAGTTTGAATAGAAATGTTAAGTTTGAATTAAATTATAATAATAGTATTTTTTATACATTATTTGATCTTAAATAAAATAAATGTTAATCAAATTTACTTTTACAAATAAAAAAAAAAAAACATTGTCAAGATCCCAACGAAAAGATAATCATTGTGTAATTTAACAATAACAAACTTAAAAGAGTTGCCCCAAATGGATAGCTACTAATTAAAACTTAAAACTTTAATTTCGAGATTTTGAGCTTAAATTTTGAGTAAGAGGCATGAAATTTGTAAAAAAAAAAAAAATGTTACTTTACATTGTATAAACTTAAAAAACAATGAGTTTCTATAAATACTCAAAAGAGCAACTCAAAATCTAATTTGTTGGTTGAAAAATGAGACTCCGTTTGATTTATACCTTTTAGTAATACCTTTTTCTATTTATTTTTTTTATTCCAATAAAAAAATCAACCAAAATAATAATAGAGCTATGTGGATGATATATGCCTTTAATTTAATTTCTTGATGGGCCTATCTTGGTCCTTTTTTATCCCCCTTGAGGCCCAACTTGGAAATGGAAAACGGGAATGAATGAAATCCATGAAAACTGAAAAAAAGAAACAAGTCTAGCCTTGAACGGTTTCTAACTGTCCATATCTCCACCAACCAACGGTTGCAATTCCATCTCACAAATCTCTTCAAGCACACGCATGAAAAACTTCAACAGGAATCCTATTGGTCTCTTCACAATGCACACGGATCATTACTCTTAAATCTCCCAACCGTTGATAACCTTTCCAATCCACGGTTCACATTAACCCATTTAAAACCTGTAAAGAAAACCAAAGTCACTCTTTTCCCGCTTTCTCCATGTCTCTCCCTATAAATGAAACCCTTCCTTTCCCTCATTCCTTCATCGTTCAAAAATTTGCTCTACATTTCTGTAAAACGGTTTTAATCAATTTTTTAGAATTAAAATGGCACGGACCAAGCAGACCGCTAGGAAATCAACCGGAGGAAAGGCGCCACGTAAGCAGCTAGCCACAAAAGCCGCTCGCAAGTCGGCTCCAGCAACCGGAGGAGTGAAGAAGCCTCACCGTTTCAGGCCAGGAACCGTGGCCTTGAGAGAAATAAGGAAGTACCAGAAGAGCACGGAGTTATTGATACGGAAACTTCCATTTCAGAGGCTGGTGAGAGAAATCGCTCAAGATTTCAAGACGGATCTGAGGTTCCAGAGCAGCGCCGTGGCTGCCCTTCAAGAAGCAGCAGAGGCGTATCTGGTGGGACTATTTGAGGATACCAATCTTTGTGCTATTCATGCAAAGAGGGTTACTATTATGCCCAAAGATATTCAGCTCGCTAGAAGGATTAGAGGGGAAAGAGCTTAAGCCAGATGTGTTGGTTTAGAATTTGAAGATGTGGGATTTCGCTTAGTCTTTTGCATTTTTTGGTTGTAATGATGTGAAGTGACGAAATCAAATGGGTACTTCTCCCTATTAATCTATCGTTTGACTCAAAACTATTTGTTAATCTGATTTTGAGTTTGAAGTAATTGCCCGTATATTTTGGTTCTTTTTCTTCTAGGATATGTACTCTAATTGTCTACTAAAAAAAAATTTGGGATTGATATGAAGCCTGGTGCCGGGCTTGTTGGCCTGGGATGAGGGACGTTGTCGTTGGTTTCACAGTTCGGAACTCAAATTCTTCTACCGTCTGCTTCTCTCTTCTGCAAAATCTACTAGTGAACTTGGCTTTGGACAGGAGGCAATAATTTCTGAAAGGTGTACGGATAATTTTTTAAATTTAAAAATATCCTAGTAAGTGATAATGGTCGACTTTTTAAAATGCAATTTTTTTAAAAAGTAAATAACTAATTAAATAAGATTATTTGATAGAAATTAAACTTAAGTTATTATTTTGTGTCATTATTATAAGTTGTCTACATATAAAATTACATGTGAATAGATTTTTATCAGATAATCATGAACATCATCCTAACATATTTTATTAGATATATATATCAGATATATTATATCATATATGATTGTATATATCATAATGATTTATTTGGATTGTGTAAATTTTCTAAATAAGTGGGTGTCACTTTAACTAACGCTAACAAAATATACATACATATATATATATATATATCTATATATATATATATGCCCTAAAAAAAAAGAATGCGACAAAGTTCCCGTATGATAGACATAACAAAGAGTGCATCCAGAAGCCATGTATCCATTTCTAAATATGACGTATGAAATTTACAAGTCTTCTGAATTTTCTAGACCATTCTACCTAATTCTGAGCAGCTTCGATCAAAGGACTTGCTTTCTAATGTATGAAATTTTTTGATATATACACAATGAAGCTGAGAAAAATCATAACCAGTTGTTTGGAAGTAAAAACTCATGAAATCTGAAGGAGACCTCCCCAGCAGTGTCTCGCTGTAGTTTGTCATCTGCCTGCTCGCTTGTGACAATGCTCTCATTTGGTTCTTCATGTGGCAGAGGCAGTATTTGATTGTCATTGGGTTGGTGGGCTAATCTAACTTCAGCTGGCAATGGTAACACTGATGGAGAAGGAACCTGAAGCCTGGCACTACCAAAACCTTGGGAAACCAATGATTGATCCCACAACAAGACATGCATAAGAATAGGCACCTTGGCATGTCGGTGTAATGAGAGCTTCTGACTTAGGGAAACAGTATCAAAGCATCGAACAGCTCCTGTTGAAGAAACCATCCATGGAAGAACCTTCTGATTTGATAGTCTTGAGACAACCATCAGCCTACATGCACTCACTGATTCTTTATAGAGGGTGCTGAGTCCCGATCTTGTTGAAGGCACATTTTCATCCCCATCGATAACAGATGATATATAGATGAATCCCTGTCATTACAGACAAAACAATCAGCAAATATAGTAACAAATTTCTTCATATTATCATCTAACTATGGGGTGCAATGCCTGTATAATCCCCTCAAGGCTATTTTCATTCCGACTCTTGGCTTCTATTTTCATAAATCTAACTTTTATGTGCCTTGCTACATTAGGATAACTGTGATCATTGAGATTTTACTAGTTTTCCTTTCCCAAGTATTTCATTATTAAGTAACCTAGAATTCATCCTTTAAGCAAACATTAAGCTAGTTACTAGTATGACAAGAAAAAAGGACGATAATGTCTTCATCTGGATCAATATCATGACCAGTCAGATTTTCTTTCTTTCTTTTGCTAAACTATTGATCAAATTATTTTCTCATAATCATGTTCTTTTATATTTTTAAATTTATATGTATCTAGATTTTATATATGAGAAATATGTTCGTAATATTTTGCATCCCCTTCAAATAAAATCCTAGTTTCACCCTAGAATAGTCACAACCATGGAGTATCAGACAGTTTACCTCTTTTGTGCGGCTAATGGCGAACCCGAGCTTTGTGTCATCCTCTTTTAGTTTGATCTCAATTGCAATTTCTCCTGCAAGTGGGGCATACCATAGACGAACTGCTCGAACAACTCCAATGTCGATCCCATGGTAGTCCTCAAAACCATATAGGCTTGCATTGGCTTGGTTTGATAAGTCAGATAATGATCCAGCATTTACACTAGCTGAGGCCGTCTCTCCAGAGATCTGCTCCAAAAATTAAAGAAGAAAAAAATAGTTCCAATAATCAGATGAACATGAATAATCTTGGCTAAATGGTCAACCTGAGAGAGAGGTATCCTAAGAATTTAGATCAGAGAATTGCCTTGAACCCTATCCCCTTAATGTCCTACATCATGTGATGGAAGGTAAAGCAGAGAGATGAGTGCTTAAGGATACTTCAATTTTTTATTTTGGGCAATCAAACTATGCCATTTATCTGAAAAAACAGTATACCAGTATCTTTAGCATAAGCATCTCATTACATTCTCATTTTCTAGCCTCTTCAACGAGATTTCTATCTGTCCAGAATCTCTAGTGACAAGAATCTTAATCTACTTTTCATCTTGGAGGTGCAGGTAATCCATCCATACTCGATATATGAACCAAGGAAGATGGGCGTAAGTTTACCCATTATAACATGCACATCTTCATATACTGGGTTTGCTACCCAGTCCACAGCTTTACTAGCTGTTCTACTTATCTACTTTATCTTACAATCCTCAAACCTCTGCCATCTATTCTGTATTTCCTTTATGATAGGCAAGATTATACAGTTTCATTTCCTACCGTTAAGATCCATACTCTAATACTATTTTGTAATCATTCTGCACCATAATCTTTATCTTCACTGATTCAGCTAACTCTATTCCTTCTTTTACAGCAATTTCTTCAGCCTCAATACATGTGTTCACATCCACCATCTTCCCTACTCCAAAAAGCTTTCCATCACCATTTCTCACCACACCTATCCCAGCTTCCTTCTGTACTTCGTTAAAAGAGGCATCACAATTTATTGCAATCCCGTCACCTTGGGGACATTCCCATACCTGTTCATGCTGCTGATTAGCCTTTGCACTCTGTCTGATTCCATCCTTTCCCGCTTCAAGTCTCTCCTCCACACATTTATTAATTCTCCTTATTTTCTCTATTGGATCCACCATTTTCTTCTGAAACATTGCCCTACACCTCTCGTTCCATATTAGCCAACAAGTCATAGCTACCAAAATTGTTATCTCATTATTCTGCATCTTATCACCACTAATAATTTGCAGTATCTTCCAAATCCATCTATCCACTGTCGTTATCTGACTTTTATCTATTTTATATCCCACTTTGATTCCAAACCACACTGTTTCCACCCAATCACAGAGTAGCAGTATGTACCCAATAGTTTCTTCTGCTTTCCCACAAATTATTTCCACATGCTCACCATAGAAAAATTTTAACTTTTGTTGCCACTTGTATCTTCCATATTGCTTTCCACGTAGCCTCATCCACAGTATGAGACGTCGAGGGCTTCTGTTTCTCAATCTGTCCTCTTTCAGCTTGTGATACCCACACTTTACAGAATACTCTCCATTTTCAGCATCTGGCCATACAACTCTATCCCTTCCCCCATCCTTACAAATAGGAATGGGTAGAATTTCTTTCAGTACATCTTCATCAATTCTATTTCTGATGCTTTCTATCCTCCATTCTTCCCTATCTTTATCCATAATATCTGCTATCTTTAAAAGCATCCTCTGCTCATCTTCTGCATATCCTCCAAACAAAGAGAGAAGAGATCCTTTAGATAACCACTTATCTTTCCACGAGCTAATATCTTCACCATTCATTACTTGCCACAACACATTTTCTCGTAAGAAATCCCTCCCTTCATTAAGACTTGCCCATGCCTATGATGCGTTGGCTCCTTGTCTTGCCTCTAAAGAATTACAATGCAGAAAATAAATTCCTTTCATAATTTTTGCCCAGTGTGCTTTGGGTGAATTTAACAATCTCCATCCATGTCTGGCCAATAAAGCTTTATTAAACAAGGACAAATATTTAAACCCCATTCCACCATTCCCTTTCCTACTTGCCAGCTTAAGCCAGCTTGCCCAATGTATTTTCTTCTCTTCCTGCTGCTGCCCCCACCAAAATTTTGCCATTTCTGCATTGATATCATCATATACCTTCTTGGGTATCTTAAAACACTGCATTGTATACTTCAGGATAGCACAGGCCATTGCTTTGATCAGGACCTCCCTTCCTCCAGTTGATAGCAAAGATTGTTTCCATGCCTGCATTTTACCCATTATCTTTTCCTTGACAAATCTCATTGCTTCACATTTTGTCTTATACCACAAATGATGGCATACCTAAGTATGTTCCAGGGTTAGATGCCACTGCCATCTTCAAAACTTCTGCCAACTCCTTTCGAACCTGCTCAGGAGTATTATTACTAAAAATAATACTAGATTTACTCAAATTTATCAGTTGACCAGATGCATCACAATACTTTTCAATTATACTAAAAATAGCTTCACAGTTTTTCCTATTTGCATTTAAAAAGAAAAGGGAATCATCGGTGAAAAGAAGATTAGTTATGAGAGGACAATCTTTACTTGACACCAAAAGGACTCCTAGACTCAATGGCACTGTAGATCATCCTAGAAAGGACATCAACTACAAAGAAAAGCAGGTAAGGGGATAAAGGATCACATTGCCTAAGACCTCTAGTAGGAATTATAGCGCTAGATTTCTTACCATCAACAACCAGATTATATGACAGATTATTTGGTCCATTTTGTAGTAAATCCCATTTTCGTAAGAACTGCCTCAAGGAAATCTCAATCCACCCTACCATAGGCTTTGTTCATGTCCACCTTTAGAGCCATTTCATACATTCTCCCTTTCTTCCTTATCTTCAGGTAATGGAATACTTCATTAGCCACCAAGATATTGTCCTGAATTTGCCTATTTTCCAAAAAAGCACTCTGATTCTATGTAATCAAACCTCCCATAAGAGGCTTTAGTCTTTTCACCGATATTTTTAACAGCAATAATTCTTTAAACATTGTTCCATGCAGTGCATATAAACATCTACTAATGTATCATGTTCCTTTGTTTTTTTTTTTTTTTTGGGCTTTTTAACCATTTGTATCACATTGTTAGAACATAGAAAATATTAAAAGGCATGCCGTGAGTGTAAAATGATCAAATGTTAATGTCAGAGGTGAAACAACACCCTAATACTTGATTGAAGAGATGGACTTGCTACAGCTTGTGTTGAAAAGCTTTTGAGGCTAGTGACTGTACCTTAGTAAGCAGGGATTCAGTCTGGATATTCATGAAAACAATGGGGACACCAGAGGCCTGAGATGCATTTAGCCAAGCATTTGCTCGGGCAAGAGTATCCTCCAAGTCGTTGTATCGAGAAGCCACTCGATCTGAAGCTTTTGGAAGGAGAAGAACAGAAAGAAAACAGCTGGCGTTGGGAATTGATAGCACCTGCTGCATCCTCCTCTCCCATGGATATGGGACATATCCATCCTGAAGCCTTGTCGTTGTTAGTTCACTGACCATCCTGGAGTTCCTTGAAGCTGCGAACTCATTATTTAAAATTGCATCAGAAAGTAGAAAGAGTGAAGAAGATTCAAACTTTCATTTTCATCAAGTTATGGGTAGGGGCAGAACATTTATGGACATGTGTGGCATTAGGCAGGGACCATGTAAGCTTATTTAAAACTTTTCCAAGCATGCTTTGTAGGTTACATTCACATTACAATACTATGATTTCGAACATCTTACAACCATTGATGCCAATTCAGGTAAGGAATGGCTAAAGTAAAACAGATGTAGGCTGTCCATAACAACTGCAGGATATTTACTTAAATAGCCAGACAACCAACACCTTTCCTTTTCTGTGTAGACTATCACTTGTCCTGTGGCATTCTGTATACCACTTTAAGGAATAAGGACAACACGTCAAACCCAGTCATGGAATGGGGCAATTATTGAATACAATGTGTGATGAAATGTTAAAAGAAGACAAAAATATCTTAAAAAATATTACAAATCATACTGGCATGCATTAAACCACAACAGTTTGCATCAGGAGAAAGCACCATCTGAGATGGAAAAGAAAAGGTGCTCCTTCCCTTAACAAATGCTGTGATTTGTTGGTACTTGGTAGCAGTCGTCAGCTTGAGGACATCATCCAATCTTTCAAATAACATAAACTAAAATTGTTACAATTGCATTTCTGCAGGCTGTCCCTACTCCCATTCTAAAGCATTAGTTAGGAAGGTAGTCCCTCTACCAATTGCAAACAATTTATCTTCATGCCTTCCATCATTTCAAGGTACAAAATTTTAAGGTATGAAAGATATGACTACAAATAATGAAAGATGATATAATGGTTAAGAAAATTTATAAAAAAGTTGTTTTTATAGAAATGAGTGATGAAGAAGATTCAAAACTAAGACCTAACATGATTTCTTTTTTTGGCCTTTCATACAGTCGACCATAGAGTTATGAGATATAAGGTTTAGTTTGTTATTGTTGCAAGTTGCAAATGAACCAAATATGAACAAACTTTACTATATTTGTAATTTGTTCATATAATTAATGAATCATGAAATGTTATTCGTAATCATTTGTTAAACTTAACAAAGGAACATAAACGAATAAAGACTAAGCTTATTCACGAATTGTTTGTTGAACATTCTTTTAATTTACATTTCCACATTATAAACAAGTTGAAAATAAACAAATTTTGTTACGTTAGTAATATATTTATTTAATTAACGAACTCCAAAATATTGTTCATGATAATTTCCTAAGGTCAATAAACAAACTTAAATAAACAAAATTGAGCATATTCAGTAGTTATTTATCATACGTTATCTTCACTTGATAGAGACTAAAAAGATTTTGATAAATTCCATTTTTGAACATGTAAGCACTTAATTAACCATTGATCTATGCTTTAGGAGACCCAAGACTACTGCAATCCAGCAAAGATCCAACTTAGTTCCCCGTTTTCCTGCTGGGAGCTTAATTTTTTCAAGCTGATATGCTTCCTAGTCTGAACTCTAGAGCCTATCAATGCAACGCAGGTGTGAAAAGTAAAAGCTGGTTTTGACAAGCAGTTCAACTGTCTAATGTTAATCAAGCAAAGCAAGACTTAAGACAATTAACACGTTATTCATATCACGGAGTTGAGTAAAACAAATCTTTAAAAATGATAAATCACCACAAAAAAAGAAAAATAGGCTTCCATTTTTATCGTAACGAGCCTAGAGGGGCTTTGTAATCATGACTAAAGTTTTTTCTAAAATTATCATGTCAAGAATTTCCACTCATAATTATCCTACAATAAATACGACTGACTCCTTTGCCAACCCATGTCAAAATCACGTGTTAGCATTAAAATTATTTTAATTAAACCCATACCAGACGGCGAAAAATTAACGAGGTTTTGTTGTTACCGATTTTGTTATGTAAAATTATGGTTAGCTTATCATTCAAGCTAACAGTGGTTTTTCTTTAAAAACTACTTTTGATTTAATTTTAATGTTAAACAATAAAAATCTAGTTTGTAAAATCAAACAAAATAAGTTTCTAATTTTTTTGGCCAATATTTTAATAAAATAACTTTATTATCCTTATATATGTAATTTTTTTATTATTTTATATATATTTTATTACATATTTTGATTTACTATAATACTTTTTTCAACAATTCTAAATGTAAAATTCATAAACCATAATTTTTTTTTTATCTTACTTTTAAACACATTTTTTCAACTCAATATTTTTTTAAATACGATAGCAATAGCAATACCAAACTTTGTTAAAATATTGTTTACAACAATAATTTTTTCCATTAAATGTAACAGTTGGGAGTTATGTTGGAAAACCATTGTTTGACAATCAGACGAGCTGATTACTCGTTACTTAAGATGAAAGTAATATAAATAATAAATTTATGAATAATTAGCCAATCAGACTGTCCAAAATTCTGATGTGATATTTCCTTAAATTAAATAAGAGAGAGAACAGTTTAACCACTACTAGTTTCGTTTCAATGCAACTTTTGAAAGTTGCTTTTAATTAAATGAGATTTTTTATTTTTATATATTTATTTTATGTTCAATATATGTAAAATATAAAAATTATTATATATAATTTATTATATTTTTATTAAATTTTTATATATAAATTTTTAAAATTTTAATTATGTAATTTTTAAATTTTTTAAAATAATTTTATATTAATATAATATTTAAAATTATCAAATTTATTTTTAATAAAAAGGCTTTTAAAGAAAAAAATTGAATTGAAAAAATAGAAGGGAAGTTAAGCACTTGAAATGGTAGTCGTTTTTTTTTCTTTTGGTATATCACTCAATTAAACAAAAATAAATTAAAAACATTATACTGAAAATTGGGGAGAAGTTAACAGGATCGAATTATAACAAATTAGTATAAAATTTATTTATGCAACAAAAAATTAAAGGTTCGTATCTTCAACATAACTGGGCCCAGATAATACAAGTTTTTAAAGTTTTTTTTCCAAAAGAAAAGTGAAACTGTCATTGTCGTCAGGGAAACTGGTCCCAATTCCAACCTGAAAGTTTTGCCCATTGTCACTCCGTTACATAAAAATTTAAAAGTAATGAAAGTTTATAGTATTTTATTTAAGTGTGCAATTAAATTTATAGTTAATATTTATTTAAATTAATTTTATTTTTATATTTAATTTAAAATCATTAACTTTTAACCATAAATATGATTAAAATTACATTATTTAGCTTCTGATAAATTAATCAAAACTTTCTTTAATTTTCAAGTAGCGAAAAAAAATCTTTTCTTATTATCACTACCATAAAAAATCAACGAAAGCATCCTAAAGATTTCGTATAAATTGTAAAATTTATCTTCAATTAAAAAATATTTTATGTGCGAAAAACTATAATTCTTACACGTGTGTTAAGACAAGATTTGTGTATCGAACAGAGGCTAGAGAATCCAACCCAACGACAGAATTAAAAGGGCAACGCAAAAGATTCGAATTAAAAAAAAAAAAAAAGAGAAATCAGCACTCGACTCAACGGGCCAACTCGGTGGCCGATAAAAAAAGAAAAAAACGCACCTTGCAACTCGAGGCACTCGGATTCAGTGCGATCCGAAAACCCCACAGTGTAATTGGCATCCGCTATAGACCTCAACATATATTGCTTTTTCCCGCCAGAAGCGTTAGGCACGATACAGGCCTGCAACTCAGCGAACTCGTCAATGCCTCGCCTGACTCGGACGAGAATCAACGTCTCCTTATTCTTATACGAGCTGTGAAGAACCTTCTGGACTCCGCTCTTGCCGCCTTTAAAAGGTGCCTTATGGGTGAGACCAGAGCCGGATCCAATTCGAATCTCCTCAACAATATCACCAGTCTGGAGCATATCTCCGGTCCATTCGTCTGCTTTTGAACTCCCTTTCAGGCATTCGATTGAGAGTACGGTGTGCGATCTCATGCTCTCCGATTTTAGGTTTCGGTCCATGGGCATTTTCGGGTCGGGTCAGGCTGAAAAGTATATAAAACTTTTTTTAAATGCTCGCAATGATCACCATCTCGGGGAAGAGAAAATAAAAAGCAAACTTTTGAGAGACGGTTCTGGAGGGCAGAAATCGGAATTTGGCGATGATTGTGATGGAATATTATTGTCTTAAAAGGGACAATCTGGGTTGAAAAAAAAAATTTGAAGAACGAAAAAAAAAACCAAGAGGGAGAATGTGGAAGAGAAAGTCAAGGGGGAGAAGGGAGAGTTGGAATTGGAAACGGAAGGATGATGAGAAATGATAAGGTGCGGAATATGTAGGGCAGTGATTGGCAGCTGGAAATTAGAATCGGAGAAACATAGATAAACTTTAATTGATAACATAATTTTCATTTAGATTAGATTGTTAATATTATAAATAAACAAATAAAGGAGAAAGGGTTTGATTGTCAAAGTAAAACAGTGCAACAGCAACATATTTATTTTTTATTATATTAAAATGTAAATTAAATTTAGGTTTGAATTGGAATTTGGTTTTTTCAATGTTATACTCCTTTCGTTTTATTTTTTATTTTTTTAAAAATGTTTTAAAATTATGTCATCTTTTTTTTTTAACATTCAAAATTTTAACATTTTATATTTTAAAATTAATTTTAAAATTTTTTATTTTTTCACATTAAAAATTATAAAATTTTGATTTTATAAAAAATTTTAAAAATTTTTATTTAATGCATTAAAGTCAAACTTTTTACTTAAATTTCGTGAAAGTTAATAACATTTAAATAATTTAACAAGAAAAAAGTATTTATTATTAAAATAAAAAAATTTTATTTATTAATATTTAATATAATAATATCATCAAATCAAACCTAATTAAATATGACATATGAATTTATACAAATAACTTGATCAATAAATGCTTATGATAAAAATATAAATCAATATATGATCGCATTATTAATTTTTATTATATGTCTTATAGTATTAATTTATCAAGTTCGTGTCCAATACAATAAAACCGTAACTTTCCAAAATAGACCTAACTTTTACCATGTCATGGAATCACTCATTTAAATGGGTTGGCTAAATTCTTAAACTTTTATTTAAGTAGATCATATGATTTAGATACAAGGAAATTTATTGTAGATTTGTTCCTTAGATATTCTCTTTTATATTATGTATTAAAGATAATTTCATGTTATGTGTAATAAGAGAATAAATACTCATTTGGTCTTTAAAATATATCATTTCTATAACATTAGTATTTATAGAAATAAAATTTACAATTAGGTATCCAAAGTTTGCTTCTGTCACATACTTTATCCATTTGAACTAATACTATTAACCAACTAGTGATGTGGCATAAATGCCCAATAAAATTATGATATATGGCATTTTTGTTTTAAATTTTTTATTTTTAACTTGAAAAATTAAAAAAAGTAAAATCAAGAAAAAAAAATTAAAGAGAGCGAAAATGGGAGAAAGAATAAAAAGGAAAGGGAAATGAGGTATTGACTGTTTGCATTGTAGGACCAACTTGAGGTTGATGGTCGATCTACCTCGATTACCTTTGAAACGTCGATCAATCATCTGCTCTCAATGACTTAACCTTTTCCCCTCCCTTACCCTTCTCTTATTCTTTTTTTCCCCTCGAAACCCATCATTGCCTTGTTCCTTCTCTCTTAACTTCAACATTAAAGAAGAGCTCAGTTCAAATAAGGGTTGGTATTGTAAATATTATCAAAGATATGTTTTTTAAAGGCTTATTAATGTAAAAACATAGTTTTATAATCAATTAATATGTAAATGTATAAAAAAATAATATTTTGAAAGTATAAAAAGAAATAGATTGAAGTAACGAGGGAGCAGCTGACTGAGCAGTTGACTGTTAAGCAAGAGAAGTTGAGTGCCTTAAGAATTGTCCTAAACTAGTTTACATTCTAACAGAAAAAGAGATATGGATAGCTAACTGCCCTTGAAGTGCGGTTGACTTTCTTACCAAAAAAGGTGAGCAATCGACTACCTAAAAGAAGGCATCTAAATTTTTTCATTTTGTTTGAAAAAGCAATTAATTACCTTCGAAGGGTAATCGATTACCTTATCCCAGAACTACAAAAATTGAAATAAAAAAGCAAGCATTTAAATGTTTAATGTCGGGAATCCAAATACTCATTTTCTAGACAAAGAAAAAGCCTAAGGCAATCCACTGCCTTTGTAAAGTAATTGGCTGCTCGTCTTAAAAAATAGAAAAACAAGTCCATTAAACATGTTCTTTCATTTTAACAATTGTATTACTTCATTAAAAAGATACCCATTTGTGGAAGGACATTAGAGATATCTTTTGGGGCTTATATACACTTCCTAAATACTTATTTTCAAGATACTTTTACATCTTTTCAAGATCAAATCAAGAAATTTTCTTCTTACATTCATTTTTCTGGTTCATGGTTTAAGAGAGATCAAAAAAAAGTTGAAGTGCAATCAATTCTTTTCGTTAGGCATTGTATCCTAAGGACAATGTTTCTAGTAACCATTCGTACCTAGTAAGGGAACTATTATCCTTAAGAAAGCTTCCTAGAAGTGCCTAACCTAAAGTTCTTTTTTCAAATTCATCTTCTTTAACAAAGTTGCATTTTTGTTATTGATGCACACTATCATAATGGTTTTGGGGTCGCTAGATGTTTAATTTTAAAATTAAAAAAAATATGGGAGTTACTGCCAATCTTTTTGTTAGGTGTGATTAACCACCTGAAAAAATTTATTTTTTTTAACAAAATAATGAAACGAGTTTAAAGTTTATCAAAAAGATAATTTTGGTCTATCAAAACAAAAGTGGTTTGAGAGTCGATTACTTGTGGGAAATGATTAACATTCTCACAACGCCCATGAAAATTGGTACCCATTAGTCATACATTATTTTCAATGTTGGTTAGAATGGTTTTGACTTAAAATTTAATAATAATTCCATTCTATTTTTGAAGAAGAAAAATCAGTTTTATTAAAACTTTTTGTTTAGGAATATTGCAGAACTCTTTAAGTTAAAGAATAATCTTTAAATTCTCTGACATCTAGGTAGAACTTTAAATATAATTCCTTTTGCCTAAAATTTACCATGACATTTTTTGAAAAGAAAAATAACATTCTTTGCGAAAAATAATTATCCATGACTCTTTAATAATATAGGCAGAATACCATGAATTATTTCTCTCAGGATGTTATTTTTGTTTGATTTTATCATTCCATATTTTTAATTACACATTTTTTAAAATATTTTATATGAAAAAGCCAATGAGGATACAATTGTTTAGCGAATGAAATGAAAGGTATAAACATACGAAATGAGTACAAACAATAATAAATAGATGTGTGTATGCCAGTGGATATTATGTAAGGTGATGAAATGCAACTTTAGAATTTGGTTTTTAAACATAATGAGACCACCTTAACTCTCCAATATCTAAGTAGAGTTTATGTGCGATTATTTATATTTAAGATCTCATTTTTAGTGATATATTTTTTCCTTTTGTTTAATTTTATTATTATTGCGGGTTTAGGACTCGTACAAAAAAACCTTATGAAATAAGGTTTTCTAAATACCTTATCTTTCAGGTGGCATTCGAGAATAAGTTACTTCATGTGAGATTTTTATTTGTGTACTTAGAATTTTTGGATAGTTTTGGGTATGGGTTTAAGTTGAGGTTTTAGAGTTAGAATGATTTTAGGTGATAATTCAGGGATGCGAACCGAATTTCAGGTTAAGTTTAGATTTAGGGTCTTAATGGATTTGTAGGATTTTAGGGTCTCATTTTAGGGTTTTGAGGTTTGAAGATTTTGGGTTTTAGGGATTTGCTTTTGGAATTTTGAGGTTTCAAGATTTAGGATTTTTGAGTATTTAGGGTTTAAAGTTTTGAAATTTTTTTAGAGTTTTGGATTTTGAAGTTTCAGGGTTTAGGGTTTTAGGAAGAATTAAGGATTTGAGGTTTTAGGGTTGTGGATTTTTGGATTTTGAATTTGAATTTTAAAGTTTTAAAATTTAGGGTTTCGAATTTTAGGGCTTTATATTTTAGAGTTTTGAAATTTTAGGATTTTAAGGATTATAGGGTTTTGTAGTTTTGGATTTTAACGGTTAAAAGGGTTTTTTTTTGTTTAAAAAAAATGGAATCATCGAGAACTTGAACTTTGTCAATTATTCCTAATATCTACGCGAACTTTTGAAGCAAATTTGATTTTTGTAATTCCTTTTTTCTTTTGACAATTTTATATCGATGCAACATGAAGCGAATAAATTATACACATGAAAGCTAAAATGAAATAAAACAAATCAAAATAGAATAACCAATTTAATCAATTTTTTATTATTTTATTCCTATTTGCTTTTTACCATTTTTCTTTAAAAACTAAAAGTGAAATAAATTTTTTTTATCATTTAATTTACTTGTGGGAATTTTTACTTTATTTCTTAAATTTTATTTTAATTAACCTAATTAATTTTTATTATTAATTTTTGTCTTTAAATTTTTAATTCCTAAACATCTAAGCAGAATTAATTTTTTAAAAAAATTTTGAATTCCCTCAACATCTAAGTAGGATTTTCAAAATTATTATTTTTTACTTAAAATGTCATTTTATATTTTTCCATAAAAATATTTTTCTTAAAAAAAATCATTTTCGAATAATGAAATTACTATTTTTTACTTTCATTCAATATTCATTTTTAATTTCCTAATCACCTCTAAACAAATTAATTAATAAAACTATTTGTAATTTTGTTATTTACTACAATTAATAATACTTTTATTTTCACACATGCTAAAGCGATGATTAACACACATAAACAATAATCAAAAGTTCATGAAAATAAATTGACAAAAAAGCAAAAAAGATGAGAAAGAATTTACCCTAAAAAGAGTTTTTAAAATTAGACCCAAAACACCATAAAGGGGTCAAGCTTGGCAGCCTAACTCCAATAAGTGGGTTACGCACTAAATCTAAGCCGAAGGAATAATAGGTTGGTTGGGCCAAAAAAGCAAGGGTGCCAATTGGGTTTCTTGCTAGGTTTGGCATGGTCAACCTTTTTCTTTCCACCTTATAAATACCAAATTTTTTTTCTTTGAAATTCATTTTTTTCCTGCCTTTCTTAAAAAAACTTCTTTTTCTTCTTAAAAAACTAAAAACCCTAACAAAGCCCAGTTCTTGACGAATGAGCTATCACCTACCTCTCTGTCGATGGTGTTGGTGTCGGTCAGTGGTTTTTGGTTCCTAAAATTTCATCATAGTTTTTCCTCAATGTCCTTATTATAGATCCGAGCTCTATTTTCCCTAAATTAGCTCTCAAAATCCCAAATCTATAATTGAAGCTCAAAATTTTAAACCA